CCATAGGAGTTTGAGCACCTGCAGTTGCGTTCACCTACTCTTGGTGATCGAGCCATATGCTTATGTGAGACCAAGACGAGAATAGGAAAGTCAAAAGTCAACTCTAAGAAGTAAAAAAGAGGGGAGGGAGGGAGGGGGAAGTTTTACCAGGCATATCTCCCATCACAAAGGATGTGGCTATGTTTGCTGCTCCCAGAGCGACAAGTTCCCTATTGGCACTGATGGAGTAGTGGAACCTGGCAGCTTCACCCTTTGCGGCGACGATCGAATCGACGAGACCGCAGATACATAGTGTGAATGCTGTACCGAGGGTATCTTTGACAAGTTTTTTCGAGACGCCTCTCCAGGGTAAATCGATTCGAACTTCGCTAATTGATATCGAACCAAGGACGGCGACACCCTTTTGGTCCCAGTTGCAGAGATCGGTGACGAAGCTTGCGATGGCTGCCGTGATGAGGATCTCGGGTAGATACTTCAAACCGGGGAACTTGCGCCTGCAGAATTTAGAGGATTTGAAGGTCCGGATGGAGAGGAGGAGGAGGAAGGCGGTGAGACTGATGAGACAGCTCAGTTTGTGACTCTGTCTGAGGTTGGCAAGAGTCCAGATGAGTTTCTCGATCGATCCTTCGGCGTTGATGGCTTGCTCCTTTTCGAGTGCAGCCAGTCCGAGTAGGGATGGGAGCTGTTCGATGGCTATGACGACAGCGATGGCGGTGACGAAGCCTCTGAGGAGGGCTTTAGAGAGTACGGCGTCTAAGAATCCTAGTCGGAAGAAGCCAAAGCTGAAGGCAATCAGACCGGTTTGGAAAGTCAAGAGAGTAGAGATGGTGATTGAGAGTTGTAGTAGTTCGGCATCGGTTGGTGGCTGAAGTCCGGAGTGAGTTTGGCGGTGTGCTATGGCTTGTTTGATGACATGTCCGACCAGCAAACTCAATGCAGCTTCGGGTCCAACAGAGACATGCCGACCGGTACAGAGCAAGGGATAAACGATGGCCGGGATTGCAGCAGAGAACAGTCCTGAAGCAGAGACATATTAATTAGTATTACGACACTAATTTTTTTTTTAAAAAAAAATGAGGAAGAAAGAAAGAAGAGAGAAGGGTGTACCATTGATAGACGGGATCCCAGCCAGGTTGGATGCATAGCCAATCGACTGAGGGATTAGCAGTGAGGCGAGAGTGAGTCCGGCGATCGTATCGTTGAACAGATCACCCCGGGAGTATTGAGGGATCCAATCGAGGGCAGGGATGTAATAGCAGAGTCGATCGGAGAAGATGGCACGGATGTTCTCTGGACGGTTTGAAGCTGGGCTTGGCTAGATAGTGATGTAAGTCAGTATGTCGATGGATTTGAATGTGAGTGGTGGGATGACCTACTGAGTTTGAAGGGATCAGTGGGCTGGATTCGTTGTTGGAAGGAGTTGGTTGTAGTTGTTGTTGGTTGAGGTTGATTGAAGTCATGGCCTTCACTCGAGAGTGGTGATGTATGTGGTAGTTGATGTTGAGCTTGGCTTGGCTGGGAATGTTTTGCCTGGGTTTTCAAATCTTTATCATCCACTTCTTCTTCTTCAACTGGATAGTGATCACTCACAACATCTGCTGAATCCAACCCAATCTGCAATCGGCTTCAACTTCAATCATTCATCATTTCAAATACTCCTGTTTAAATGTGTTGTACCCCCGGAAGGGCTGTGTTCCCGTTTGAGACTCCCATCTTCTGGATTTCCTCCTTCGCCAGCCACCTTCTTCATCAAACGCCGGAGCTTCCAGTCTTTGATCATCTTATTCCAACCGAGCACTCGAACTATATGTACATACCCAAGCCTCCAAGCTCGGCTATACATTTTACAGAGCATCCGTCAGGGGAAAAAAACCCCCACAAGTCTCGCAACAGCTAAATATTTATGTAGGAAAAACTATCAGCTTCAAGTTTTCTCCTGAGCAGGCTGTGATCAGCAACAGTATACTAACTTAACTAAGTCCCTCCTGGCAGTTGATCCGATGGCTTGCCACCCTCCTGCGGAGGGTCCCTTCGGGACGGCGTCCCCCCTCCCACAGAGGGACTTGGTTAAGTTAGAACAGTATACTGTATACAGGATATCGATATTGCTCATCGCCAAACTCACACAAAGCAGTTCCAGGGACAGTGGGCGAGTCGAAGAGATTAGAATAATCTATTGTAAAGAGCTCAGCATGAGTCCATACATACAACTCCATTTCCTCAGCATTCCAACTGCACCGGTCGCTGGCAACTCGCTGGATTTTGTCTGATATGCCAGGAAATCTGAGAGGGTTTAAAAGAGTACATCTCTTCGCCCAACTCAGTGATCAAGCACCCCCCCACCAGCATCCGTTTTCCCCGAACAAAACAGTAGCCGGCCACTACTCTAGACCGCAGTATCATAAATCTCTATCAGCCCTTCAACCAACAATGTTCCAGACCAAAGCTTGGATCCTGAGAGCCTTATACGTCGCCTGTGGGATCAATCTTGTTGTCCAGCTTTCAGAGGCTCGACACAGCCTTGTGCCGAGGGGTACGATCGCCATGACTCCTTGCTATTCGGGCCTCAACCCAGATTATGTGCGGGGCGGTGATTGGCTGGGTGAGTTCCAACTCTTTCCAACATATAAACACTTATCGTTTCTTCCAAACCACAGCCATTCGAAAACTCATTAGAACCATCAATCATCCACACTAGAATGTCAACCCTTCCCCGGGCAGCCTAGTGTGTCTTGTCATTCGAGGGCCTGCAACGCGGGCGATAGTACTGAAAGTACCTCTTCCTGTGAGATTTAATCTGGACTTAATATAGCTTGTAGTTAAGCAAATCAGTAGAACGTCGAGCTTGAACATGAAAAATCTCTTTCTGTTTTTGTCCCTGGGATCCGATCAATTTGACGCGTGTTGTAGTTAGCTCAATGACCTGGGAGGACTGCGAACGAATTGTGACGTCCCAAGTCACCGGGCAGAAGGGCTTAAGAGTTACTAAAACATCCAACTTTAATGTCAACTATAGCGATGGACCAGAAGCCCACATATGTATGTATCTAAGCTTTAATTGCCTTCCTAAAGACTTCCAAGAAATTTTCAACTAGTCACTTACCATCTATACAATCACATTCGCAACCTCTGTCCACAGTGGTCCGTGGCTTTGACGAAACCGCTCCTGGCGAGAACACATACAAATGTAATATCGATAAGAACAGCCGCAGGCCTTGTGAGTGTATCTAATTAGCATGAGTAAAACCAGAACCCAGAAACTCATTATGTTGACGCTTTTTTTTTCATCACTATCAGTCTGTCATGCCTGCGAAACACGTTAAAAATCTGATTGGACCATCACCAAGCACAGATGAAGTTGCATGCAACCTATCAACAAGTTGTTGCCAGCCATCATGCTCAATAGCGGTATGGACCAGCGCTCGTAAAGTTCTCTCTGGCCATTCCCCATTTTTCCCTCATGAGTAGCGCTTTTTTTTTTTTTATCCTTTTGTTTCACCGTGTATCATCAGGCGGTGATTGCTCCCAAGTCTTCTTGTTCCATTTGACACTAGATAGATTGTTCAATCACCAGTACAGGATTGTGTTTTTCTTCATGAGAATCTTGCTCACTGGATTCCTCTGACTCGAAATGTATACAAGGCGCTCCCTTAAGGCAAGGCCCCCGAAAGACAATTTTTGGAATCTTTATATGCCATTTAACCCATCTCATTTCAGAGCCCAATTGGGATTGAGACCATATGAGAGCAGCATTTTCAGATCAACCTGGCCCTTGAAATGTGTAGCTGGCAGGACCCTCAAGATGAGATGTGCACCGCTTTATACCAATAGAATCCTACCAATCACACGTACCAGATCAAGGCCTTTAAGATTCTTGTAACATTTTCAAGTAGTCTATCAAAACCTTTCGCACAGTCCAAAAAAACATTGTGCATTCAGTTTTGTATCTTGCCATCTAGATCTTCCCAGTTATGTAACACAGGGAGGGAAGATCGCGAACGGCTATAGATGAATGACTATGAGCAATTGCTCACCACGGCATTTTTTTCTTGAAACACCAATTCCCAACAAGCTGGGATGTTACACCGGAGACTGTTTTGATCCATACTATAGTGACGGCCTTGTTTGTTTAAAGTGTTTCTGTTTATTTCTTTAATGAACCGACGGTAATTCTGCAGCGTATCAATAAGAATGCTGGTCGAGCGGTACCGGGATGATTTGAAGACTATTACTTGATGCGAACCGAATGAGCATGCAGGGAAGCCAGCCAGGCAAGATTCTCCATTAATTGCCTGAAGGTCCACTTCAGACAAGGGCAACGCCTGTGATCCAAGGTCCAACTCGATGGGTAAAAGAGCCTGCGACAAACACAATTTTTGAGGAGTATGTATGCAAGTTTCGTATACTCATCAACTCGGATCACATCAACCCTTCAAACCGGTGCGGGTTGATCAGAGAACCCATGCATGGCACACCTCGATAAATTCCTTCCGCTGAGTCACATCAGCCCAAAGGGCCTTCCTCAACTCAGCGTGATCTATGTGATTCACCTATTACCTGCTTCTTCTCAGAGAAGAAAAAAAAAGAAAACTGAGCTGCTCGTTGGGACCATGAACCAGCAGGCTTTATGCTCATTGGATTATAGACAGCGCAAGCTCACGGAACCCTACATCGTTGTTTGGGTACATATCAGCTAGTTCGGACTGCCGCATTGCTGCTGTTTCAATGGCCCAATGGACGGGATTATTTGCAGACACTTTCAAGGTCACTTGCTACGCTCTAACGATGTAGTGTTGATACATCTGAAAGCCTAGCGGCCTTCAACCTGGTCAGGCCTGGGTCAGATCATGCACTAGTGTTGCCTCTCGCCGTTCCGTCTTCTGCCAGGATCCTGTGGCTACCAGCATACGAGGCTTTTTTTTGAATGTGATCCAGCGAAGTTAAATACATTTCAGTCCAAGGGCAAGTCGATGCCCAACCATCATTCCCGCTCATTATTATTATCATTTTCTCGTTTTTCAACCCATTCACGCGTCCAACGCCTGACAAGTCAAACTTCGTCGTATCCTCTCATTATTCCTGATATCGGACTCTTCCCATTGGGCTCAAAACAAAAAGACAATAACTTCTCGCTGCATACTGTTCAGCTTCATAAGTCATCAAAATGGGAAGTCCCTTGGATGCACAAACCGTAAAACTGATTAGTATCACACAGACTTACTTCGCGGGTTGGTACCAAGCTTCTTCCACTGATCAGAGGGATAACGGTAGTTAACTCCAACAAACTGACTAAGCTTTTGACTTGGATTCCCCAAAGCTATGTACGCCGTCGCGCTGTGGGACTGGATTATTTGTCTTCCGAAAGAGTACCGAAGGTTGGATTCTCTATCGCTTCTTTTCAATCAAGCCTCCAGTGATCGTTTTTCTGATGGTCGATTAATGAGTTTAGAATCTACAAGGCCCCCAGGTCCTTAATCAAAGTCCTTTATTACTTTAATCGCTACTACACCTTGGCCAACCTACTATTTGTACTTTACGTAGGCCCGAATTCATCTCCTTTTTCATAGCCCATTCTAGGAGGATACCAGGTGCTAACCATCGAATTCTGTCTTTGAATTTTCCTCTTTCAGGGTTTTAACGCTCAAATGACAACAGCCGAATGCGACAAGTTTTACAAGTGGGAGCCTGGAGTCGCGTCATTTACCACTATCTTCGCGGAAGCGTGAGTGCCTTAGATTCTGAGTCTCAGCGTCATTGTTGGGAGTGGACTACTGCTGATTCACAAATCAAAACAGAATCTTAGTAGTCCGAACATACGCGCTATGGGGAAGGAATAAATACATCTTAGCTGTTCTTCTCACCGGCCTAACCATCGAATGTGTTGTGTTGTTCTTTGCGGTAACTCAATTCCATGCGGTACCCACGAGAGATCCGACTGATCCCACCAGTCGGGGAGCTTGTATAGCTGGTGGGGGTCCGGGAGGGCATGACTGGTCAATGGTGAAGCAACAAAACAATGCGCTTGCTCTAATTTTCGTAACAATTGACTGATAGCGGTTCTGCTCACCATTCTCGCAGGCATACTGGGTTTCGCCAATTGTGATGGATACCCTCATGCTGATTCTCACTAGTATTCGGGTCGGTCAACCTGCTTTACATTCTCAATTCATTCAAATCGCTGACCTTCCTCTCCTCAAACAGGCCCTTCAATACCGAAACAAAGGAGTCAAGAGTAGTGTTTTCCAAACATTCGTCAAAGATGGTATTGTAAGTCGGCCATCAATTTTCTAGTAAAACGCAAATATTGACTTCCTCTTCGTCGAATCTTGGATCAGCTCTACTTTGTCGTGGTATTTGGCGTCAACTTGTGAGTCTGCTTAGCTGATACGGAATCTGACAGACAGATCTGACGAATACTTTGTGTTGGTTTTATTCTTTAGAATCAATACCATCTTTTACTCTCTACCGTCTCCAGCTCTTCAGGCAATCAACAGTCCAATGTCGCTCTTGGTGAGTTTGTCAATACGAAGTCCAAGCCTTTTGACGTTCTTTGAAGCTCACACTTAGTGGTTCTTCTATCAGATGACGTCGATTATGTGCTCACACATTGTGCTTTCGCTGCGGGGTGAAGAAAAGGAAGAGATGGAAGCTGTCAGCAAAGATTGGCAGGTCAACACTTGTTAGTTTATGTCGCCCTTGGTTGCTTGTCTTGCGACCCGACTTTCAGACGCTGACCTAATACCCACTCTGCAGTCCTCAAAAAGAAAAAGGAGCAGAGATCGGGTGCTACTGCTACCCAGGAAAAGAACTCAGCTCACCACCACGAGTTCAATAACGAAGGTATCTACCGAAACGGCATCAACATGCATCCTTTTTCGATCTCAGCTCCCTCCGCACAGCATCCCTCGGACACATATTCGGCTTCCTTAGACATGAATTCGAGCGGATTAATTCCAAGCGAGGGTTTCATGAACCCGACGTACGAAGGCGTTCAAGTCGATATTGAACACGGTCGCAACTACGACGAAGAGAAGAGTGCAATCAACGACAGTCAGACCAAATTGGAAGTTCTTTCCAAGTCCTAAGCATCACCACCTAGGTGCTGGTCGGCCGCTACACCCTATACCCACCAACGCTTCGGCAAAAGCGCCATTCGGACAATTTTTTCCCTTGATATTCGTATTCTCATCTATGCTACGTCGCATTATCTATTTCGGCTTTCATCATCACGCATGTGGCTGTGTCTCTTCTTAAACTCACTTAGTAACCGCAGTATGTATTATCAATCAGTCCTTTGTCCTCTAATCAGTAAACTCAAAAAACCTCAGTAGTTTTTTTCTGTATTATACCATATCCCTTCTTTCAGTACACTTGGGGAAATGTTTGTGATTGGCAAGTTCGAGGGACATTGCTACTTCAATTTGACACAAGGACTTGCAGTATTTCTCGGCCAAGGATGAGGCTAAAATTTGGCTATCATCGTGCAAGACCAAGATCCAGACAGAATCATCCAGGCATACTGCAAGAATGATCAATGACTGAGCTGAGCTGGTTGAGATGGCTTCAAAATATGATTGCTATAGTACACAAATGGCCCCCAAACCAAAATTCTTCTGAAATTTCAGAAAACTACATAAAACAACATTTCTGTGGAATTTTGGGCAAAGATAAAATGATAAGCACAATATCTAGCTGTAGCTAGGTACACCACAGGATCAATCAAGAGGGTCCAGGAAGTTCCCAATGCTGTGGCAGAAACCATCTGTCCCAGCAACCACTGGTACTGCAAAGGAATGGCAGAGTTCTATTACCAGTGGTGAAATGATGACTACATTTGATGACATCCCAGATGGTTGACAGCACTCTGGTTCCTTGGACACCTCAGTCCCTTCAACACTTGGTCAAGTGTTCAGGGGATAATAGCTCAAATCAAGGTGTCATTTGGACACTGGATTCCTGTCAGCTCTGGTCTCTTATGTGACCAAGAGTTGATGGGATAAAGGGTCACACTATAGCCTAAGAGTGGCCAGTGGAAATAAGTCCAACTCAACACTGCTATGGTGGAGGGACTGGCTCCTTATAATAATAAGGGACAACAGTGGAATGAGCTTCACAGTGCCAGAGCTCAGTTAATATAAGAGAAAAGGGTTGGTACTAGTCTTATAAGTTAAATAAGTAACTTATAAGGCTAGTAATGAGGATAGAGGAAAGAGTAATTAATATGTTAAAGACTATTGTAAAAAACCCCACTCACTAAGTATATGTTTTAGTAAGGTGATTGGGTTTGTATGGTAATAGTGTCTGGGGGATGAATCTCAGGGGGAGAGCCATCCTCTTAAATATTACAGAGCAGGGGTCAAACTGCTGCTGGGACCGGTGCAGTCCCCTTATTGTTACACTTTTCCTTGGGGGAAAGTGTCAGGATATTCAGAGCATGATAAATGTACATGTGCTGAATATCCTTTATTTCAGAAAATACCATAAGAGAGATAAACATAATAATCATACACACAAGAGAGGTAAATAGGATAATCATCTCTTGGATACACCCAGGAGATAATTATCCTTTTCAACTTGATTATAATTTTCATGAAAGAGGTAAATTAATAAAGAGGTGAATCTTTATTAATTTACAGAATAATTATTAACATAAAAAATACATGCAAAAAGGGATAACACTATTTTATAATTATTAACTTAAAGATTACATATAATAATAATTGTTATGTAACCCAAGGGGGTTACATTCTATTGTAGACACCTGGGCTAGTGTCTCAGTGTCTGACAATTCCCCCCAATGGTTCCATTGGCATCAGGAGAACTGCTGTTCCAACCAGGTGGTTAGTGAGATACTCAGGTTGATTTGACAACTTCTCATAGCGTCAAAACAAAATTCATTGGGACCTCAAGGGGTTTGGATGAAATTTAGGTCCTCCTAACGTTGAGTGGAATATTACTGGAACACTTGATTTTTTCATTTTTCTGTTAGTTTGTGCTTGGATTTGTTTGGACCTCCAACCTCACACATCTCATCCTCATTCAACCTGGTGATGATATCATTGAGCTATGACCTCAAATGATTGCTTTCCTTTTTTCAAAGTCAGACTTTGTTAAGTTAACTTTCCTCCCTTGAGTTTTGATTAAAACTCAGCCAACTTTCTTTCCTCTCCGCCTTCATCCTGATCAACACTTTCTGTTTCCATGCTCTTTATCACCTTCTTCCTCAATGATTGAATTCAATTTTCCTTTGAACTTCATCATCATATAAAGAAAAACTTTTCCTCTGCTTTATATTGCATTCTCATTTGAATCAACTCCTTTTCCAACTCATCTTTACTTGTTACTCTGACCCCATCTAAACTTCTTCTCCTAACCCCATCTTGACTTCCTTTCTTGAAATCTTTTACAATTAAAAAGGAATCTTTCAGAAAGTTGGTAGAAGAGGATTGACTTGTGTCAGCCTTAGAAATACTTAAGATTATCCAAAAGACTGCTAAATAATAGATTATAACTTTTTAGGCCTTGTTTGGCACCAATATAATGGAGAAATATAATGTCAATTCATGTGAAATCTGATCAATTTTTGGAACTCCACTATTGGGATTATATACTCGCAACAGCCAGGAGGGTTCCTCCCAGCCTTTGAGAGTGTACAATCTCAACGGCCGGGATTTATTCCTCTCAGAGTGTACAACTCTCAGGGACCAATAATATTCTCTTGGGCGCTTAGCAGTGAGAGTGTAAAAATCTTACCAGCCAAGAGAATTCCTCAGCCACTGAGAGTGTACAACTATCAGCAATCAAGAGGATTCTCTTGGGCACTGAGATTGTACAGCTCTCAATGATCAAGAGGATTCTCTCAGCCACTGAGAGTGTACACTCTCAGTGTCCAGGAGTGATCCCTCTTGGCTGTACTCATCCCCTATTTTTACATAGAAATAGTGCTCCCTTTCCAAGTTGTACATCCATCATGCACTCACCTTAGTAGTAATAGACACATTAAATAAGCATCACTTACCAGTACTACCTTTGCCAGTATTAAACCTTGCCAGTATTCTTTCCAGTATTACCCTTTCCAGTATTAAAACCTTGACATTACTATCCTTGCCAGTATTACCCTCTGTCATCTTTGCTCCACAAAACTCAGTCTTTCCCCTCCATTAGTAGTAACTTATATACACAACGCATTGGTAATAGTCATCTACAATGAAAGTAGACATTATCCACACCTCTTATTTCTTATTTTCTTAGTGTTACACTCTTCCATAGCATGAGACAGGATTGCATCCTTACAGCACCTTTGGTTATAGCTTACATTAGTACCTTATTTCTTCTTTTCTTAGTGTTACACTCTCCCCATAGCATTGGATAGGAGGGAATCCTTACAGCACCCTTGGTTATAGCTTAAATTAGTACTAGTGTAGTTATCTATCTCCCTTCAAAGCTCTATCTTTTTGGTTGAGAAGTTCCACACCATTGAGAGCTGTTCACTCTCAGTGGCCAAGAGGAATTACACCTGGTGTGGAACTGCTCAGCAAGGAATAAGGAGCTTGTAGGGGATAAGTAGCTAATAAGCTGTGGAATAGTAGAACTTAGTATTTGTGTATGGGTGAGTCTTCCCTCCTGTCTAGCTTGTGGGAAATTCACACTAAGAAAAATAAGAGTGTGGATGATTTTAAAATTTATCTTAGTGATGATTCTATTTTATTACCTTTTGATAGTGTTCTGAAATGGATTAGATGGATGATGAAATTGTTTCTGATGAATGAGTACTATGTGAGGGATCTCTGTTTCATCTGTTATAAGTTATCTTCTGATTCTCTGTAATATCTAGGCTCTAATAAATATAAGTCCTTGTTTCTTGAGGCCCTGTTTGGGTGGATCATTATATGTCATAGGCTTTAGAGTTCAGCACTAAATTGCATGATGTATATATACTGATAGTGATATAACACTTAGGGTTCTCAAAGTTGAAGCATACCAACATACATACAATACTACATACAACAGCATATGACACATAAGCTGTCTTTCTGTGTGGGTAGGTAGGGGTATGCATCCAGAACAGGGTTTGTTGCATGGGTATGTATTAGCGCATGGAAAAAAAGCTATGTAATTGTGTATGTATGGGAGTATGCACGAGCCGTATGTCAGCCCAATTTCAACTTTGAGAACCCTAACTATCCTGCGCTAAAATTTGAAAATTATAACTTATATATAACAGAATCATCCAAACGGGGCCTTAATATCTGAAGGATGAGGAGTGTTTAAATATTATTTCTAGTATTTATCTGGTTTCAAAGTAAGGGTCTGATGATTGCTTAAATAATATCTATAATTATTTCTCTGGTTCAAACATGTAAGGGGGATGAAATTTAAGTAATATCTCTATATATAAATTACTATTCTGAAGTTAGCATGTAATGGGGTGAGTTGATCAGCGCTAAGTAATATTATTGG